AATTTTATCACTGCACATTTTACATTTTATCACTGCACATTTTACTTTTATCACTGCACAAATTGGTTATCACTGCACACTAAAATTAGGTATGTTTCGTAACATACAAAAGATTCTCATCTTCAATTTATTTCCTATTTCACAATCTTTTAGTTTCAACAAACGAGAACCATTATTCTCATCAGTATAACTCGGTGGATCACTACTGGTCGTATTGTGGGCAGACGATGCGGCCGTTCGACCCTCATACACACATCTGTTGCAAGGGGTACGTCCGCCCTCTGTTGGGACCATGGTACCTCAACAAATGCTGTGGTACGTTGAACTACAACCGCCAGTCACATTGGTGCTGCGAGGGGAAACTACGAAGGAACGTTCTGGGGCGTGTCACAGCGAGACCAGGGTGTTGTGGTCGAAAGAGTTACAACCCCACCACCCACCGATGTTGTAACGGAGCGGTAACCAGTAGCAACGTACCATACTACCTACCAAGCTCGTGTTGTGGGCGAATATCGTTTAACCCGTTCAAGGACACGTGCTGTGAAGGGCAGGTGCAGCTTTTGGAAGGTGGGTTTCGGTACACACGGTGTTGTGGGGCACGTACCATGGATACCAGAAAAGCAAAGTGTTGTGGGGGAAAGGTGAGGAACACCTCTGACCCACAGGTGGATAGGTGTTGTGGGACGTTACTGTTTCATACAAGTTACGAGAAATGTTGCGACTGGGAGAAGGGAATTGTTGAGTCGATCTGGACAGATTGCCCCAATTGACGGAATTCATTAAATGTTTGAAACAGCGGAATATATAATCAATTATAAACACTGAATATTATCTTTTAAAATGGAACTTTACCAACGTTTTCAGAGCAACGTTTTATACTGTCAATGAAAATACCGGAATCGGAATTCACTGAATGATTGAAACAACGGAATATATAATCAATTATAAACACTGAATATTATCTTTTAAAATGGAAACTAAAGTTTTACTGTCAATGAAAATATCATTCATTGGTGGCCATGAATGATTGAAACAGCGGAATATATAATTAATTATAAACGAACATTGAATATTATCTCTTTAAGAGTCAGGAAAGTTTATGAACGTTTTACTGTCGACGAGAATACCATTGGTATTCAATGAATGTTTAAAGGTTGGGAATATAATCTATTATGGAACATTTAACTGAATATATTATCGGTTTTACTTTATACTAAAGAAATAATTTTTCGGAACATTTTCCACCACATAATAATAAGCAATTTCAGCTAGAACTAATAATGCTAAAGGAGTATTAGCCTATTGCTGTATAAAATTCTAGGTTTTTCAAAACTTTTTGTACGTTTTGAACTTTGAAGGATTTGCAAGAAATGTTTGAAGGAATTGACTGAATGTTTAACACTCAGTCAGTTTCCTCAAACATTTCTTATGAATCCTTCAAAACGTACAAAAAGTTTTGAAAAACTTAACTAAATTAACTGTGATTGTTATTATTAATAGTGCAAAACGTTTTACAAGAAAAACCCAGTTTAAAAATGGCCGGTTTAACTATCAAGTGAAATAAAGTATATTAAAGAAAGTTAAGGTTAATTTTTAGTCAAGATATGTTACGAAACAAGTTCATATATAACTTATAAGCATTTTATTTACTGTTTTATTAATTAGCGAGGTTTTAATTGCGACGAATTGACTACGAAGCATAATAAGCGATCTATTCTCTTACGTCGAATAAGCTATATGTGAAATGTGTAGATGGCTTGCGATGAATGTTTACGGTATTTTTTCTATATTTTATATAACGAACAAGTAGCTATTATTGCCATATTGTGTGTATTACCCAACTATATTAATACTATATTACTACATGAGTTACAGAAAGCGTTGCAGAATAAATTAAACTAACACAATGAAAATAATTATAAAACAATTATTGGATGAAACTGATATAAAAAATTTTCAGACTGAGGTCAATGTTATCTACCGAAGCGAAGACGAATAACATAGACCGAGGTCTGGACGATTCTTGATAATGTACACCGAGCCCAATAATTGTTTTTATTATACATTCAAATTTTAAAACCCCCCGAGAAGAAAGCCAAGACGAAGAGCTTTCACTGGAAACGTCTCCAAGTTTTTGTATTTTCAGATAGTTGAAACCCTTTGAATCCGGGAGCTCGACTGACGAGCTTGTCACCTCGCTTGTCACTTCCTACGAGGGGCATTTCACTCCAAAAATCCCGTACACTTCGTCAAAAAATCCGGAAAAAATCCGAACAAATCCGGAAAATCCAACAGATTTTCTCTTCAAAAATCCGCTAAAAATCCGCTAAAAAATCCGCGGATTATTAAAAATCCGAAAATCCCGTACGCTTCGTCAAAAAATCCGGAAAAAATCGGAACAAATCCGGAAAATCCAGACAAACCCGGAAAATCCAAGAGATTTTTTCTTCAAAAATCCGCAAAAAAATCCGGGAAAAATCCGCTAAAAAATCCGCGGATTTTTAAAAATCCGAAAATCCCGTACGCTTTTTTGGAGTGAAATGCCCCTCGACTTCCTACGCTGCCAGGAACTGTTCAAACTCATTATACATGGACAAAAAGACGATATTTTACAGTAATAAAGAGAAAATATAATAAATACCTGTCGAAGATAGTTTTGTATTGTTTGATAGTAACCGTTTTCGTGCTGTCACAGTCCTTTTCTGACAATTATTTGAACAATTTGTCTTTGTTTCAAAAAGCGAATTCCATTTTGTTTTTGCTTCCGAATTTTCGCGCGCTTTTTAACAACCTGCCGACCGCGCTGGGGCTTGGGTTCTACAGAGGGCATTACA